TCTATCCTGTTTGGCATTCATTGGACTTATTCAATGGATACATTCTCATCTTTCATCATACCAGGAAAATTCTCTTCCTGCAAATCTTCAACAATTTTTTCTGTGGTTTTATTTGTCTCTTCCTGTTCTGGAATTCCAATTACACATAGGTTATTTCTTTTAATGGTATCCCACATGAACCTTAGGTTTTCTTCATTTTGTTTTGATCTTTTTTTCTGATTAATCCCTTTCCAAAGAAATATCAAGGTATTTGCCTTCAATCTCACTAATTCTTTCTTCCATTGATTCAATTCTCCTCCTTTGCCCATTCAATATGTTATCTATGTCTGAAAATTTAGTATTAATCTTCTGGATTTCTGTCTGTAGAATTTGTATCATTTCTAATTTTTCATTTATTTTGTCATTTTGTTCTTATACTGTCTTTTGAAACTGTTTTATGGTTTTCTCTGAGTTTTCCTTAATTTTGTCAGTGTTTTCTTTGATCTGTCTCTCAATTAGTTGAAGGTACCTAAATACAATTCTTTTGATTTTCTTATCAGGGAGTTCCAATGCTTCTTCTTTTTCAGGGATGTGTTTTGCATTTGTATCCTGGTCCCTTGTTTCTCCTGCTTTATCTTCCTTCTTTGTGTTGACTGAGATACTCTTTTATCTCCTAGGCATTGAGATGTTTTTGTCTTTCTATTTAATTGGTGATTGTATATTGGAGTGACTTACCCATGATTTTCATTTTCTTTGTTTTGTTTGGATGTTATCTACATAAGCAGGGTACTGTGATGTGTTCCTCTATTCACTAGTTGGTAGCACTTATACAGTCACCACCTGTCTCCTTTCCTGTTGTCAGCCTCCCATATGTCCTTGCCATCCTTGGCAAATGGAGCTTATCCTTAGGTCCCTGGAATCCAAATGAGAATGCTATCACTTTAAAATCTAAAATGGCTGCCACCTCTAAACATTAAAAATGGCTGTGCCCTGGGTCATTTTAAATATCCAAAATGGCCATCATTTGTAAACATTCAAAATAGCTGTGCCCTTGGTCACTTTAGGAGCTTTGGTGATGTAGAGCTTAAGGCATTTGACTGCTGACCAGAAGGCTGGTGGTTCAAACCCAAGGAGAGATCACTATGAGTTGGATCTGACTTGACGGCAATGAGTTTGATTTTATTTTCTTTGTCAGTCATTTTTAATATGCAAAATGGCTGCTTCTTGTCAACAATCAAAATGACTGCATCCTCTAGACAGCTGAAATTCCACAGCTCAGGTGGTCTCCCTCTTTGCTGTTTCCCTTCCTAGTCATAGGCCACCAGTGCAGTTGTCCCTGCAGCCCTTGGTGACCATGCTGATCTTTAGGTCAATTTTCAGGTCCCAACACCACTTGCAAATATTCAGGCTGTTGGTCCCATCAGAATATCTGACAGTCCACTGCTCCAACTGTGACTGTACTCACTATTTTCATTCAGATTTTTCCACTAGTTGCTGCCTAATCTACTTCTCTCCATTTCCTTTCAAAGCTCAGGGCTCCAGGATTATCTTTTGTATCTCTGTCAATTGGTTTCTCTTTTCTTTGTTGAAGAGGGTCTGTGTAGCTTGTCTGCCTATTTCACCACCTTACCAGAAGCCTTGACCTCTCATTTCTTGACTGCTATATCCCCAGATGTTGACTGTGGGTTCAAGTAAAATGAAATCTTTGACAACTTTAATCTTTTCTCCATGTATTGTGATACTGCTTATTGGTCCAGTTGTGAGGATTTTCATTTTATGTTAGGGTGTAATCCATACTGCAGACTGTAGTCTTTAATCTTCATCAATAAGTGCTTCAAGTCATCTTCATTTTCAGCAAGGATTGTTGTGTCTTCTGCATATAGCAGGTTGTTAATGAGTCTTCCTTCAATCCTGATGCAACATTCTTCTTCATATAGTCCAGCTTCTCGGATTATTTGCTCAGCATACATATTGAATAAGTATGGTGAAAGGATACAACCCAGAGGCACATTCATCTTTTTGTAAACCATGCAATATCCCCCTGTTCTATTTGAACAACAGCCTTCTGGTCTATGCACAGGTTCCTCATAAGCATAATTAAGTGTTCTGGAATTCTCATTCTTCTCAATGTTATCCATAATTTGTTATGATCCACACATTTGAGTGCTTTTGCATTGTCAATAAAATACAAGTAAATGTCTTTCTGGTATTCTTTGCTTTCAGTCAAGATCTATTTGACATCAATAACGATCTCCCTCTTTCCATGTCTTCTGAATCCAGCTGTACAAGTCATTAAAAGTTTGGGGTTTTCGTTTCTCTTTATATCATTTACCATTTTATGACATAGTCTATTAATTTCTCTTCTAGCTCCTCCAATTAAACTTAAATTTCATGTGGACCAAACTGCTTTTTTATTCACTATTTTTTTATCACTATTACCCTGAACTAGGCTAACCACATAGAAAATACTCAAGAAATTTTTTTTTTATCAAAAACATAAATGAACGATTAAAAATAATATACTTGCTCATGTTGTATTATATTACAGTAGCATTTTTTAGAAATAAATATTCTTTATTTCTTTTGGGACATCAGGATTTTTGGATATTCAGTGTAAGTTACTCATAATGAGAAACTTAATCTCCTAAACTATTCTGTAAAAGTTTTTTCCAAAGAAAATTTCTATAAAGGAAACTCCATGAACAACTTAAGTGATATGTTCTTGTTGTTGTTATATGCTGTTGAGTCAGACCCAACTCATAGTGACCCGCTCTTTGGGTTTCTGAGGTGGTATTACTAAGGAAGTAGATTGCCCAACCTTCATTCCAGGGAGATATTTAATTTAATTTGAGACTAGCAGTTAATTTTGTCTTTCATATCAACTGCAATGTCATAATTATTTCATTTAAAAAGACATTTACAGATGATCTAATTCTCCCTTATAATTTAAACAAGATCATACTTAATGCACTTCTGATCAATAAGAATCTACTCTATTTTTAAAGTTGACTCAATAAAGTTTTTTTTTTTTCTTTTTTCAGTAACATGCATAAAACATTTCTAATCTTTTCCTTATGATTTTTTTTTTTTTTTTATCACCAGTACTTGGAGCATTTATAACCTTTAAAATTGAAAAGTGGATCTATCTCATATTCAGAAAGTCTTTTTTTCTCTCTCCCTCCTTACTTTACAGACACTCCAACAGTTTTAACAGCTAGCCCAAACTGATGAGCTCAAATTGTGAATCACGAAAATTGTGATATATTTTCTAGTTGCTAAGTGGTGAGACAGATGTGATACTAAAGAGATTTAAAAGAACAAGCAAAATTGAGAAAATGTGATTTCTCAGCAAACCACTGCAGGACAGAGGAAAGACTTAGTAAAGTGGAAATCTCAACCATGACTATAACAAAAAGAACAAAGGAAAACAAGGTTTTCCCTAGCTACTTTTAAAGTTTTTTAAATTGCCATGATTTGCTGCAGATCCAAATTATTTTCATTATATCACAAGAAGATAAAGATTGGGGAATTCTCTATTATAATTTCTAATATTTTGATTTAATATCTAATTTTAAAGATAAATTTAAATAGATTAATATTTTGCCATTTCAGCATTTTTCCCATGTACCATTGAGTGACATGAGTTAAGGTCATCATGTTGCACAACTACTATCACTACAGTTTCCAAATTTTCCATCATGTGTGATTTTTTAAAAAAGGTTAGTTACATTATGTATGATATACTTACTCTGTAAAGTGATTTAGAGTTGTCTTTCAAAAAGCATATAAATTAAGAAAATAAGAATGATTATTTATATATGTCGGTGATGCATGCTAAAAAGATTTTAATGTCCAAACATAAACAGAATCACACTTGGGACATGAAGCCATTAAAATTCAATTGACAAAACTGAAGTTTCAATTTTGTAGCCTCTATCGAGGAGCATTCCCACCACAGCTAATTAAATATTTATTTAGCTTTGGTGATTAGGGCATAGAGTTACAATAGTTAGAGCCTGTTTTAAACATTCCTATGCAGTGGCATCATTAGGGGGGTCCAAGTGGGCTACTGACAGTAACAGGTGACATTGTCAAAGGGGTGACACCAAAATGACTGTTCAAAAATTTTTGTGCAGCGTTTCAGCAGAAATTTATTAGTTTTTTGTAAAAATATCCTTGACACTATTTATAACAAGAGCATTTTGCATAAGTTGAGTTTACAGGTATCAATGTACTTACAAGGCTAAAATAAAACTCTATGTTAATTTACTTCTTGAACTTTCTAAAGCTCTGGTCAGTGCTGTCATTATTACCCAATTACAATGACACTTCAAATCTCATCTTCACATGTTACAAGCAGAGTTTTTGTTGCTGCCAGTGTTTTATAGTCACTGATTTTTTTTCAAATTTCCTGGTGCTTTAGCTACAATATTGTGACAATTAGTATTTGCTAACCTATATCAATAACTTTTTAGAGAATAAAGTAGTAATTAAAAAGGAAAGAAGGAGAGAAATCAAAAAAGGCTTCCACTCAGTTATGAATAATGTAATAACTGTTGTTGTTGTTGTTGTTATGTGCCGTCGAGTCGGCCCCGACTCATAGCGACCCCTCCTTGGGTTTCCGAGGCAGTATCACTACAGAAGTAGGATTGCCCAACCTTTCTTCCGGATGTAATAACTACTAATGTTATAATTCAGTGTGGAAGAATTTACAAAGCTAATTGTTGTTAGCATCCATATAATCTAAGAATATAATACTTAAGCGATTTACAACTATATTTATAACATATTAATCTGTGATTAAAATCAATAATAAATATTTCTAATGATTCTTTAAATTCTGGTATTGGAAGAGGTCCATGGAGGGTGGTTGACACCATGAGTTACTGTGCTTAGTGACACCATCCCTAGTGATGCCACTGTTCCTATGTTGCAAATTTTAATGACTATTCTTCACTGAGCAACAAAATGCTAGCGCAGTAACACATTTTTATTATATTTTCTATAGTAATATAATTTACCCAGGACCCACGGTAATATCATCCACTCGACGATGGTTGGTGGTGGACCTTGCCTGTTCAAATCTGACCTGTCGATGTGTTGAGAGGCAAGCAGCAGTAGGAACAGAAAAGTCAAATAGGAAGCTGTATGGCAGATAAACTTGATAAATGGCTTTCTGATGAACAGTCCAAGTGGGCTTTTAGGAGCTATAAGGTAGCACACAGAGAAGACAGGAAAAAGAAGTCCTATTATGAAACATGTCACCATCTTCACTGCCCAGTGTCTTCTCCGCCAGCCAGGGAACTCATCATACCAGCGAGATGCAAGTAGCTGTTGGCAATTTGGCTGGGCAACAAACTAGACAGAAAGAGAAGCAAAAGAAAAAATAAGTCAATGTTATAGAGCATGCTTTCAATTCACAAACAATAACACAAGTTTAATTGTTAAACCCAAAAGGTAGAAATTCTGTTTTAATAATTGCATTTTTAAATAATAATGAAGTGTTTTAAGTCATTTTATGAATAAAGTGTATTTATAGAACATTTATTATACCGAGGCACAATGCTAAGTATTGCAAAAAGTAAAAAAAAGTCAAAACACTATGCTTGCATTTGAGGAAGAGAAAATGGAGCTATGGAATAGAAATAGCCATAGGATATATTGATAAGTGAAAATATTAGTTTAATGATGGAGAAATTTGGTAATGATTAATGGTGATAATTGAACAATGTGACAAACATTTTTAATGTTACTGAACTGTGCCTAAGGCATTTGACTGCCAACTAGAAGGTTGGCAGTTCAAACCCACCAGCCACTCTGCAGAAGGAAGATTGGGCAATCTACTTCCATAAAAATTTACCACCTCAGAAATCCAAAGGGTGTTACCATGAGTCAGAATCAACTTGATGGCAGTGTGTTTGGTTTTGTTTTGGAACTGTAAGTACAAAGATTATTAAAAGACAGATGTTTTGTTACCTATATATTTATCATAAAGAAGGTTAAAAAAATGTTTACACTTATACATAAATATGTAAAATTTCATTTTACAAATATTTCAGATATTATATACATAAACAAACCAAACTCACTGCCATCAAATCAATTCCGATCCACAGTGACCCCCATTGAGTTTCTAAGGCTGTAAATCTTTAAGGAAGCAGACTCCCTCAACTTTCTTCCACAGAAAGGCTAGTGGGTTTGAACCACCTGCTTTCTGGTTAACAGCCAAATGCCTTAACTACTACACCACTTGAGCTCCTTATTTATATACATTAATATAAATTTATATATATATATATATATATATATATATATGTATATATATATATATATACAACCACACATACATCTACATAGATACATTATACATTTATATTATATATGTGGGAGCTCTGGTAGCATAGTGCTTAAGGCACTTGACTGCCAACCAGAAGGCTGGCAGTTCAACCCACCAGCCACTCCTCAGAAGGAAGGTGGGACAATCTACTTCCATAGTGATACCATCTTGGAAACACAAGGAAAGGTCACTATGAGTCGGATCCAACTCGATGGCACATAAGAACAAAAACAACACACACACACACACACACACACATATATGTGGAAACTCAATTCATTAACATAACACATGTTTAAGTGTTAAACCTAAAGGGGGTTTAAAGGTAGAATTTCAGTTTTAATAATTGTATATTTAAACAATAATGAAGTGCTTTAGGTCATTTTATGAATAAAGTCTATTATAGAACTTTTGTTATACCAAGGCACAATGCTAAGTATTGAAAGAAGTAAAAAACAAAACCTAAGGACACTATGCTTGCATTTGAGGAAGAGAAAATGGAGCTCTGATGGTATAGCACCTAAAGCATCTGATTCCTAACAAGAAGATTGGTGGTTTAAATCCACCAGCCACTTTGCGGAGGAAGACTAGGCAATCTACTTCTGTAAAGATTTACTACTGCCTTGGAAACCCACTGGGGGTTGCTGTGAATTGTAATCGACCTGACAGCAGTGGCTTTGGTCTCTTTCTCTCTCTATGTATACATATGTATGTTTATATATATATATATATATATACACATGTGGAGTTCTGGTAGCACAGTGGGTAAGGCATTTGGCTGTAAACCAGAAGGTCAGCAGTTCAAACCCAACATTTGCTCTGCAGGAGGAAGAAAAGGCAATCTACTTTCATAAAGATTTAAAGCCTTGGAAATGCAATGGAGGGCATTCTGAGTTGGGTTTTGGTATATGTAAATTTATATATATAAATTTATCATCATTTGTGTCATTTGTGTGTCAATTTGCTGTACTGTATTGGCTTGTGTGTTGCTGTGATTCTGGAAGCCCACTGCTATTTTAAATACCAGAAGGGTCTTCCAGAGTGGACAAGTTTAGGTGAGTTTCCAGGCTAAGACAGTCTAGGAAGAAGGAGGAAGTGGTCTACTTCTGAAAAAATTAGCCACCAAAAACCTTATGAACACCAGTGAAACATTGTCTGGTGTGGTTCTGGAAGATGAGTCTCTCAGATTGGAAGACACTCAGAATACTATTGTGGAAGAGCTGCCTCCTCAAAGTAGAGTTCACCTTAATGGCGCAGATGTAATAAAGCTTTTGGGACCTTCATTTGATAATGTGGCACCATTCAAAATAAGAAGAAACAGCTACAAACATCTATTAAGAATTTTAATTCGGAATGTATTAAGTCTCAATTTAGTAAAAATGGAAATTCTCGTATATGAAATGGAACACATAAGCTAAATATCCTAGGCATAGTAGGCTGAAATGGACTGGAATTGGTCATTTTGAAACAGATGGTCCACTATGCTGGAAATGATAAATTAAAGAGGAATAGTATTGCATTCATTGTCCAAAACAACATTTTAAGGGGTATCCTGAAGCACAATGCTGTCAGTGATTGGATAATGCCTATATGCCTAAAAGGACAACCAGTTAATACTATTATTATTCAAATTTATGCACCAAACACTAAAGCCAAGATGAATAAATTGAAGATTTTTACCAACTTCTTCAATCTAAAATTGTGACTTTGCATTTAGACCTCACCAGATGGAATACACAGGAATCAAATAGACTACATCTCTGGGAAGAGATGATGGAGAAGATCGATATTACCAGTTAGAACAAGGCCAGGGGCCAACTGTGGAACAGACCATTAATTCTTCATATGCAAGTTTAAGTTGAGGCTAAAGAAAATTAAAACAAGTCCATGAGAGCCAAAATATGACCTCAAATACATCCCACCTGAATTTAGAGACTATGTGAAGAATGAATTTGAGACACTGAACACAAATGAAGGAACCAGATGAGCGGTTGGATGACATCAAGAACATCATGTATGGAGAAAGCCAATGGCCATTAAAAAGACAAGAGAGTAAAATAAAAGGCCAAAATGAATGTCAGAAGAGACTCTGAAATGTCCTCTTCAATGGAGAGTATATAAAGTGAATGGAAGAAATGATGAAGTAAAAGAGTTGAATAGAAGTTTTGAAAGGATAGATCAAGAACAAAAATTAAAGTATTATAATGAAATGTGCAAAGACCTAGACTTAGAAAATCAAAAGGGAAGAACACACTCAGCATTTCTCAAGCTGAAAGAACTGGAGAAAAATTCAAGCCTTGAGTTGCAATACTGAAGGATTCTATGGTCAAA